GTGCCTTGTCGACTCAGTCTCGCACGCACGCACGCACGCACGCACGCACGCACGCACGCACGCACGCACGCACGCACGCACGCACGGACGGACGCACGCACGCACACACACACACACACACACAAACAAACATATTAATTTTATAAGAAAACAGTACAATTTCTAATAATCTTCTCACGTAACAAAAATAATTTATCTTTTTAAATATTTAAATTTATAATTATATATTTTTTACATAACAATATTTATAGATTAAAAATTTCTTACGTACCAAAACAATTTCACCAGCTACATTTTTCTTCTTTGGTGGAACAATTAATCTATATACATCCTCGCAAATGTAATATACAATTTTCAAGACAAGCAATAATATCTCTGCTAGAAGGAATAAAATATTGTTTGATTTTACCCTGATTATCTGAAAAATTAATGATTCTTTTATAAAATCATATAAGTTGACGGAAAAATAAGTTTATTATATTTATCTTTTGCGATAAATCTTTAGAAGAACTTGACACAGTTTGAATGATCTTGATTTTGATATATGTTGTAGGGAGTTCATTCTTGAGTAACTTTTCTTTAACAATTAGGCGACAGACTTTTATAGTTTTTGAGATATTAATGTTAAATTTGAGATAAAACCCTTGTTTAAGGAAAGCACCCTTAATAACCTACATCAAGGTATCTCGATTTATACGTCTGTATCAAGTTCATCTAGAGCTGTAAGTTTTTGTAAAGATTTGCCGTTTGTCATGTCCGGCGCTATATTTTCTCGACTTTAAAGTATTTTAAAAAATTTGAAAAGCTTATGAAACATCTGTCTACATTGTAGTTGACAATTTGATTTCATAGTTATTTCGATGAACATTGTTTATATAAACATTGTTTTATTAAATATTTTATTGTTAAATATTGTTTCAATAAATATTGTTTATTTAATATTTTATTTTTAATTTTGAATAAAATTGAAAGAAAGAGCTGAATTTTTCTTAATGTTTGTAATTTTTTTATACAAAAGAGAAAAATTCTTTTGAAGCTTTTTAATTCGAAGATTAGACAAGTTTAAAGAAAAAATGAGACAGATTAATATCTGAAAAGAAATTGTTAAAAAATCGCTAAAAATTAATTATTTTATTTTTATTTTGCTTTTTCTACCTACTTCTTTTAGAGATGGAAATCGGATATATAGGCAAGTTTGCTGATATTATAGTTACGAGCAGATGTTATGTTTCAGACTTACGTACACAATTGGAGGATTAAAACTTCTAGAGAAGTTTTATAATATTTAACAAATTAAAATTTTTTTATAGAAATGGAAGAGAGAGAGAGAGAGAGAGAGAGAGAGAGAGAGAGAGATCATTTATTTATTGATGCGTCCTGAGTATGATATCTCCTCAGACACAAAGGTACATATAATTAAGAAGGAGACAGAGAAAATTATAATAGAGAATTTATTTTGACATATTTTTATATAAAAATACTATCCCAAAACAGTTTTACGGATATTTATATAACATTACTGTAAGTTTATCCTTATAATTCATTTATTGACTTGAGATGATATGTTCTCAGTCACACAAATAGATACATATAGTTAGAAAGGAGGTAGAGAAAATTATTATAGAGAATAAAGAGGGATTTTATTTTGACATATTTTTTATAAATTTTTATATAAAAATACTGTCCAAAAAGAGTATAAATATACGAATATTTATGTAACATTATTATGAGTTTATTCTTATAATTTCTTTTCTTGAACAAATAAAACTTCTATGTCTCTCTGTTAAAAATTATAATAAGAAATATACTATAATTATTAAACGATTATGATCTGTATTATATGACACATAAAATATACTGATAGATAAATATATTTATTTGACTTGAATCTAACACAATAGTAATTAAACAATAATCAAATTCACACAATTATATATAAACGACATATGAACATTTGTATTGTAACTGAGAAAACTATCTGTCAATCAAAGAATAATATAGAGCAAATGACAATATGTTTAAACGCTTATTAACAATTATTATATTATAATATAATTATAATATAATAATATATATATATATATTTATTTATTATTTTATTTTTATTATTATATTATTATATTATTATATTATCTTAATTCCAAGAATTTAATCGCTCGCGAGGTGAGCTCACCGACGGTCGCAGGAGAAAGAGGACGATCGATTTATCGTTGCTATGTACAAAAATTCTACGATCACATATTAACAAACTTGAATATAATGATTAATCGTATTTAGAATGATTATCGAAACTGAAAAGATTTACTTTTTAACAGAAAAAATATTTAAATTTGTAATTTTTATTTGTTACAAAAAATTGAGTTTATTACATAGTATTCGTATTTATTGTAAGTAAGAAAAAAATATAATTTGTTTTACATACCTGACTGCTTTCGCTATCCATAACTGTTTTGTAGTGAGACACGTTAAATTTCTTCTCAGTTTGTTCTAATGAATACTCAGTTGTTAACTGAGATCAGACTTCATACGTTTTTTGATTTAAAAGTAAAAACAAATATATCGAAGAGGAGATTACGAATTAAAAAACCTTCCTTATATTGAATATATTGATTAGAGATTGATGATATGACTTTGCTATGCAGCGTGGAACAGGCTTGCCAAGTATACGCGCGATAACAGCAACAGAATAATTATACCTATTTCTTTCTGTCATTTTTATTCAAAAAAATAAAAAATGAAGCATATATCACTTGTATACCGAGTCTCACTTATTGATAAGTAAGCTGAGGTATGTATAATTATCTCTATATGTATAAGCTGAATCTTTTATAATAGGCTCAATCAACAGTTTGAACTTTGAACCTATTATACATAAAAAATGTATTTTGTTCTCTATAGATATTTATTATCGTTAAAAATCTAAGTTCCTAACTTATCGAAAACTCAAGATCTTATTGCATAAGAATAATATTTTTATTCCTCTTCATGACATAAAGAGAGATATTAAGTATTATGCAAAGTTCGAGTCTGTAATTGATAGCTCGGAATTCTACTGTGTAACCAAACTGTCATTAATTTTACTGTCTAGGCAATATGAATCGAGTTATTATAATGGAAAAGATTCGAATTTATGACCGAAAGTTTGAGATTTTATCAAAAAACAAAAAATGTTACCAAAATAAAACGATATATGAAAAGTATCTTTTGTTCTCCATGTAGCATAAATAAAGATATCATTTAAAATCCAAGTTTCTAACTCATCGATAACACAAAGTTTTATTGCATAAGAATAATATTTTCAACTTTATTTTGCATATGATATAAACAGATATTATTATGCAAAGTTTGAATATATAATTGATAATTCCGAGTTCATTATGCAAGAAAACGATCATTAATTTTATTGTTTATGCATCATGAAGTAGATCGAGTTAGTATACCAAGGTCCGAATATATAACCGAGAACTCCTCAATCAGCAGACAATATTTTTTTAAGTAGTTATTTAATATTATACTATTAAATAAATATTTAAAGAGCATTTAAATATAATTATTATAATATTAAATAAATATTTTAAAAATATTTAAAAAAACATTGTCTACTGGTTGTATCAGGATTCAAACACAAAACAAAGATATTGCCAAATGTTACATCCGGCGTGTGAAAATCGAGTCGTTACATACAAACTATTTATTTCAATAATTTTTCTTATTATCATTCTCGTGGCACGCTGTTCGTTACGCAGGCGCTCGAGTTCAAGCACACCCGAAGCATGCGCGATAGCCGCTGACGCGCACATGCACGCCATCCACGTGCGTGCGACCACTACCTAAACAAGCAGTATTTTCCTTCCGTTAATTATTAATTATTAGTTTCGAATCGATTGTAATAAGGTTTAATTAACGCCAATTAGATAGTAAGGTAATCATGTCCTGAAGGGACCGTAATCAAAAGCATAAAAGGAAATGTAGGATGAAGACCGAGCGATATAATAAAATAGAGAAGCGCGCAGCTGCGCGCTCAACACACCCTGTTTCCGATCCTCTCATTATACAAATCATTATTATACAATTATCAATCTCGTCTCCGTGAATCGATCAAAATCTTTTTTGTAGTACTGTCTCATCGAAATGCAACGAGAGCGAACAATCATTAGGTACCCTTCATCGGAATTTTATTCCAGTTAACGTATTTTAAATACACAATCACCCAATCGTTTAATATCGACTCATCGACGCAATAAAAAGAATTAATAACATACAAATTGTAATTGTACAAATTATAATACAATTGTAATAAATTACAAGGCATCCATAAACTCCAGGAATAAAATGATTTTATTTTTATCAAATATAAAAGCCGTAAAAATATTCTTCATACCTGACGCACATATAGTGTATAAAATAATACATATGTATATAATATATACATATTAAACATCAAAATATTATAGAAATACAAAACAATATTCAACGTACGCAATGCCTATATAGTTTATGTTATAAAAAGAGGCTTAGAAATATTTAACGTAAATAAGACATAAATAATTTGAGTGAATTACACATTGCTGTTCGTTAAAATTGTAACAGTAGAAAAAAACGCGTCATACTGAATCATATTGAAACTTGTTGATGAATCTGCATAGTAAAATATGAAAATGAGCTGTGCTTCCAATAAAAATACCAAGTTGCATTTCTAAACTTCATACATCACAATAATCCTATATCACAAATAATTTATCATATACGTGTCATTTTGATATCTCCATGTTTTTCTTGATACAATTTGAATGGTCAGCAGTGTATATACATAATAATGTAAACGGAATACAATATGAACTGATTTCAACTGCATTGTACGTATATCTGTACTTAAGATTAAGTTATATTTGTTCGTATAGCTGCGTCTTCGATAATTGCTTGTAAGTTATTTGGTATTGCTACAAAATACGCCTTGCGTGTATTGCTTTCGTAATTGGCATACGTTTCTACTGGGAGACAGAATATTATAATCTCATTTCTTTGTTAAAGGAACATTAAATCACATTAGATATTAACCCATAAAGGACACTTGGGTACGAATTCGCACCGTGCGTTTTTAAAGTTTTATATCTTCTGAAAATAAAAAGCAAAAAAATGTGTTTCTCAATGTAAAATTTTCTGACCAATCGATTGGTAATATTAAATTTTCGAAAAAAGAACGTAATTGTTTTCAAAACTTCGTGTTAAACAAAACCATTCAAGAGACGTAGCCTTTATGGGTTAAATAAGGAAATTAGAGTCTAACTGTTGTTAGTGCGTAAAAATTCTTCTATTTCAATCGTGATAATACGTAAAACGTACGTTTCGGCCTAATTAAGCCTCGGCAAATCAATAATTATGAATTACGCGGAAACGCACGATTTACGTGTTATCTGGATCGAAATAGAAGAATTTTTACGCATCAATAGCATGAACTCTTTAAACTGCCTTATTTGATATCTATTGCAAAATATTGTTTAAGGAATCATAACTGTTTATTACTTAAAGAAACATCTTTTCCAAGCTGCGCTTTAATACTGTTCAGACAACCAAATTTGTTTCATTCGATACTCTTCGTCTGTCAGACGCCGGTGATTTGGAATGTACAGCTATCTTATTATGCAGTTCCTTAATGCATTCCGGCACTGCAACAAAGTCTTCGAGCAACGATCGTTTAAATAACTTCTTAGCCTGTAGTAGTTGTTGCTCGGTCACAGTTCTGTCGTCCAAGTGCACCAAGTGTGGGAACCAAGATAGCACATACAGCCTGTTCAGAAGTTTAACACAGTTGTGTAAGTTGTTGTGAGTACTCTAAATAAGAGAAACTTCCGTAATACAAAATTAAAAAAAAAAAATCTTTCATAGCCAAAGCTCAGTAATTGACAATAAAATCAATACAAATAATGGGCTACGAACCAAAGCTTGGGTGTTATTTCGCTCCAAAATTTAATAAATCTTTTTAATAAGATAGACGACAAACGTTTTGACCTCGATTAGGTCATTATCAATGTTAAACGGAAATCGGTTGAAACACCGCGTTAAAAAAAAATCGATAAAAAACAATATAATCGTTTTTAATCGTAGTTATAAACCGTAAAAAAAATTATCATGTTTTAATTATTTATTCATGATAAATTTAATCAAAACGGTATAAAACAATAAGTTATTATAGAAATTCTATTGATATTTCAACGATTAAAATCGCTTCTATCAGATAATGATAGAAAACGATAGGAAACGATAACATTTCTTTCGGAATAGAAAAAGTGGAATGACTGATACCATAGAATACGATAAAATATTTGGCAGATCCTATCGGTTTCTATCGTTTTCTATCGATTTTTTTAACAGGGATTAAATAAAATAAATTTAAGTCCTTATAATTATACGTGAAATGTTACATATGCGCTCGCAGTCCATATGAAGCATAATCGCAGTCCAAAAATTAAATTATGTCGGTTAAATTTAATTTTTGGACTACAATTATGCTTCGTATAAATTGCAAGCGCACATGTAACATTTCGCGTATAATTTTGAAGATTTAAATTATTTTACGTAACGTTTGAACCGATTTCCGTTTCAATATTGATAACAACCTGATCAAGATCAAAACGTTTGCTGTCTATATTATTAAAGATTTGTTAAATTTCGGAACAAATAACACCCAAGCTTTGGCGTAGATAAAGATGTAAATAGAAAAAAAACTAAAATTTTTTTCATAAAATACGTTTTTTCGAAGAAAAAAACATAAGCTTTGTTTTTTTCTCAAAAAAATTTTTTTTAGCCATCTATTTAATATCTATATTTCGCTTAATATAAGTTAATTTTTTATGATTTTTTAATTTATAAATAGTATATTTAAATTATCATTATTTTAACCTTTACGCAAAACGAGAAAGCCAATATATTTATTCTGAAACATATTTTGAAGCAAAGACTTCAATGAATAATTATAATAAATTCAACTTAAGGAGAAAAGTTGTTTAGAAAAATAATTAAAAAGATTCTCCTTTTGTAAAAGTTAAATGTAGATCACATTAAAATTAGTTATATAATTAAATAATTACTATTTACAATTAATTAGTCGTGCTATTGGAATTAAAAAAAAAACAAATTTATATTTTTTTCAATGAAATAAAGCACGATTTTTTCTAATGTTTTTTTCTATTAGAAAAAAAAACCGATTTTTTTACATCTCCACTCGAGGCCAATCATTTGCATTAATTTCATAATTAAAAATATATATACATCTCTGACGCGTACCTATATCGAAGATAATCACAGAAATCTCCACCATTAAGATAACTAGGTGCTGCTTCATTTCCCATAAGACACAAGTATTTAAGATTCGGTACGCTTCTATGGAGATTCTTGACGAAGGGATACAGACTTTTTATACAGTTATGATTCAACCAGAGAAGCTCGAGGTTCGGCATGTTTGGGAACACGGTGATGTCATCCACTTTATTGTGATCCAAGTTTATGGATCTTAGATTGTCGAATTCTGACAAAAACTGCAAATTTCTAAAAAAAAAATGCCAAAGCAATTTGTATTAGCCTTAACCGATGTTATATATGTAGCAAAATATAATTTTGTCCCCACGCAAATCTTATTGCATGCGTTAAACCAATGTTAGACATTCGCTCACCTACTGAACATGTTGTTACTGATATCTAAATGCTGCACAGTGAGACTGTAATCTTGTATGATGTTGTGCGGCATGGTGAAGAGATCCTCGTACGCAAGTGACAAAGAATCGACTTGCGTGTTCGATGAGTCACCCGAGGTGAATGATTGTCGTGAATGTTTGTCCGCAAATACTAACGCTCCCAGACAAGTCATGGCATACTCTTCTATCTCGTCTACCTGGGACTGTTTTACCTCATTGTTAGCACCCGACCTGCGAAAATACAACCTTAATGTAACTGAATAGCAAACATGAGATAACAGAAAATGTAGAAGAAAGGAACAAATAATTCATATATTAAATATAGATACTTAATATATGTATATATACATATATACATACATATATATGACACTTCGAAAAATATGCTTTTAATTACATTCTATTTAAATCTATTATTTTAATATCCTTCTTTTTCTTTAAATAATTTAAATATAATCAAATCTTTTTGTGAATTATAAATAAAATATCAATATAACTTAATCTTTCACATATATATTTATAATTAACTTTACTATAATTAAAGGGCTTGTTGCAACAGTGATGTGTTTAAATCTGCATTTCGTAACATTTTATAAAAACGTAGAAAACTCTAAAATTCATCATTTTAATTTTATTTTCTTCATTGTTCCACAAAATATGATTTAGGTCATTATTATAGCAAATCCTTCAATTAAATTAGTATATACAAATGAGTTATATTATACAATGTTATATAATATATTGTATAATAATAATTAATTATATAAATTTCAAAATCACACAAAATAATATTGTATTCTTGAGTCAAGTGCTTTTCATTGCATGTACATTATTTTATTACATAACTATTCAATATATTGTATATATATACATACATACACACACATATATATATATATATATATATATATATGTATATATATACATATATGTATATTAAAGTTCACACACAAGTTCATATAAATGAACTTCAGAATGTTTAAATCTCTTAGCCGAAGAAAAATATAAGACACAGATTAGATAATTAACAATTAATTGCACAAGAATTATTTATGCTACTAGATAGCGCATGATAGTGCGAATGGAGATGATAAACTGTACACAAGCAAATAAGCAGCATTCCACTCACATCACTCTTATTTCACACCTTACGACGATGAGCTAGATAGAAAAAGAGATCAGAGTATTCCACGGTTCTTTGCACTTATCGATAAAGCTTTAAGCAAACGTCCAGCGAGCCGTTGGGAAATAATTTCGCGAATTGATGTAGAACGTCCGACATCAGAGATGGAAAAAATCTATTTTCGAGACTAACTAAAACAAATGTCATAGTCAATAGCGATTTGTGGCACGACGTAACTCATACTACTGGGGATCTACTATACTTGACCAGGTGGAGTTATCGCGTATCAAAACTGGAATATACGATAAGATACAAGGAGAAAGACGACTGGCCGGCTCTCTCGTGAGCATCTCGTGAGCATCAATATATCCGTGTGACTTAAGTGTGTGCAGTTACGTGAAATCAAGAGTGACTTGAGCAAGAATGAGAATACAGAGGGTGTTAGAGGTTATATAAGCGCACGTGTTCGTCAAAAAAGATACGCCGCCGACGATCGTATATTTGAGAAACTGGAAACAAACGGGAGATAAGTGAACAAAATTGGCGTTCGCCGAAAACACGTTCCGTAAAAAAAAAGACAGCTTATAAAATTCACGGTTATCAACAACTTGCGAGTGGATTTTTTTTTCTTTGTCACTCAAATTAGTCCATAGCTCTGTTCCCACATCTCGTTTCCTTAAAAAAATAATTGATCACGCAGCCGGACTACTCACTGTTGTTACGCACTTCCCTGAATCGAACATTCTCTGAATTTTCCTACATTTATCTTGTTTTCGAATCTTCTCACCGCACCGGAATGGATAAGGAACTCTCCCACGGGCCCCACGGCTCACTTCACAGTTCACGCGGACGCAGCGGAGCGAGCTGAGCGCCGGACGAGATGGAGCCACTACTATAAAAGCACGTGTCGTAAATGCATATGTAATATATATGTATACAGTCGAACCTCGATAACTCGAATCTCAAGAGAAGAGAAAACTCCTTCGAGTTATAGAGTTTTCGACTTATCGAAATTCGAGAGAAAAGAGGGTTAAAATATTCGATTTATGGAAAGTTCGACTTATGGAGGCTCTGTATGTACGAATTTATAATTTTCCGATTATATAGTGGCTTTTAAAGGAAAAAAAATCAATATTTAACAGTGAATTATTCTGTTACTCATTGTTACACATGTATAGCTACAACTTCGAATTATTGTGACAGCGACAATAGAAGTTCGAGTTATAGAGGTCTGATCTACTTTAAATTCGAGTTTCAGAGGTAAATTAATATATGTAAATATTTGACAAATAATTCAAGTAGTTAAGGTAGATTTTATTTCGAGTTTTAGAGGTTTTCTACAGTGGAGCGGAAGGGAATGAACAAATTTTTCGTTTTATAGAGATTTTCGAGTTGTCGAGGTTCGACTGTATTAGTAGTGGGTGTCCCGTAATGACCAGCGCTTAAGGGTAGATTCCTGAAATCATTTTAAGACAAAAGTTCCAATACCAAAATGCTGAGGCTATAATAGTTTTTGAATTACAGGTGTTTAAAATTAACTAATCAGATCGTCTAAAGTTGGCGCGCTCAGGTACGACACAATGCAAACTCCTAAAAACAAAAGCTGACTTATCGCCCCTTTTATTAATAGCGATATAAAGATTACATATGTGAATTGTGAATATAAGATTATTTTTATTGATATTTCTGCAAACACATTAATTAATAATTGTATTTAAAATTGTTGTATTTCATATTAAATTGTTAAATTTAGTTGTTAATTTAATTTTTAATTTTTATGTTTGTTTTTTTTTTATTATTTTAATAAAATGTTTAAAGTGTACTTAGAAATACTAGAATTTTGTCGTTTCACCTTTTTGGCATCGAAAAAAAAATTCAAGAATTTTGTCGTTTCTTGAAAAAAAATTCTTGAATTTTTTTTTCGACGCCAAAAAGGTGAAACGACAAAATTCTCCGTCAGACAAAAGACAATACATTGTAGATTATGACCGTATTTTTTTTTGTTTCAGATTACACTGACAGGAGATTTCAAGTACACCATAAAAAAAACGGTCTTGCGCTACATGGAGCCCTACAGTAAGAATTTTAATTTTTTTTTTACCAAAAAATTTATTTGGACACTTGAATTTATAATAAAGATAATGGTTTAAACGGATTTCATGTATTATTCTGCCATGTATATTTTGCCAGAAAAAAATTTCAAAAAATTAGCTTGTTTTTTACCTCGTCAGGGTATACTAACCCCTTAAATGAGTTTTATTTCAGAATATTAGTAATTATAGTAGCTTATCTTGTAAAATAATTGTAGGGCAAGTATCATTTACTAACTACGTACCGTTTGATAATAACTACAGCCCTACTTTTGCCTTTAAGATATGCAATTGATAACAGATTTTTGAATGAAATGTCACCTGACAGTTTGCGCTTTATGTTTATATAAAGACAAAAAGTGTTATTATAAAAAAGAAAATATTATTGTACAATGTTATTGCGCAATGTGTTTGCAGAAATATCAATAAAAATAATTTTATATTCACATATGTATGTAATCCTTGTATCAATATTAATAAAAGGAACAATAAGTCAGCTTTTGTTTTTAGGAATTTGCGTTGTGCCGTACCTGAGCGCGTCAACTTTAGACGATCTGATTAGTTAACTTTAAACACTTATAATTCAAAAAGTATTATATCTTCAACATTTTGGTATTGAAACTTTTGTCTTAAAATGATCTCAGAAATTTACCCTTAACCCTTTCAAGCACGGTGGCATTGTGGAATGCCACCTTTTCCATAACCATTTTCTCAATAATTGGAGTAGTTTTCACTCAATTTTCGAACCTTTTTTTGTGGTTTGGTATCAGTTATACATTCAAGAATAAGAATCGATGTGCAATAATTTGAAATCATAGGTGATTTTGTTTATATAAATAAACAAACGTTGAAAAATAGCAATTTTTCTAAAGAAAATTAATTAATCTCCAAAAGTTCTCAGAGTCTCCACGCAAAGATCTTTCCTCAAGGGTTTTTGGGGTCGCTAATTACGAATCCGTGGCCAGATTTCTAAAATTCAAAATGACGGATCCAATATGGCGGACACGAATTCGAAAAACGATGCAAATTTTATGAAACTGTATATCTGGGAGTTCTCGGAGTCGTTGCAATTACGAATCCGTGGCCAGATTTCTAAAATTCCAAATGGCGGATCCAATATGGCGGACCCGAATGCGAAAAACAATGCAAATTTTACGAAAATGTATATCTGGAAGTTCTCGCAGTCGCTGATTACGAATCCGTGACCAGATTTCTAAAATCCAAGATGGCAAATCCAATATGGCAAACCCGAATTCAAAAAATGATGAAAATTTTATGAAAACGTATATCTGGGGATTCAGCGATTTTACACTCGATTAGCACTGTTTTTCGGATTATAGTCACCTTATTCGATCCGCCATTTTGAATTTTGGGAATCTGATTACGGATTCGTAATCAGTAATTCCGAGAAACCCCAGATATACATTTTCATAAAATTTGCGTCGTTTTTTAAATTCGGACCCGCCATATTGGATCCGCCATCTTGAATTTCGGGAATCTGATTACGGATTCGTAATCAGCGACTCCGAGAACCCCCAGATATACATTTTCATAAAATTTGCATTGTTTTTCAAATTCGGGTCCGCCATATTAAATCCGCCATTTTGAATTTCTAAATTTTGATCTCAGATTCGTAATCAGCAACCTCGAAAACTCCCGAGTACCAATTTTCAAGTCAATCGTAGGTAAGGAAAAATGTATGCTTGAAAGGGTTAAGCGTTGGTCCGTTCATTACGGAACACCCTATATGTTATATTAATCTTTTATACACACACACACACACACACACACACACACACACACACGCGCGCGCGCGCGCGCGCGCGCGCGCGCGCGTGCGTACATATATATGTATGTATACATGCACACTAGTTAAAATATGAGACTGTCGTAAGTTTATAAATTTAATTTATTATACAGTCGAATTTCGAGGAAAGAAAAAGAAAAAATGTCTTGTTAATATAATGTTCTTTTTAACTTTCTTTTAAATAAAAATAACAAAAAGAGATAATTTTTCTGTCTTGCCATTATCGCACGCATATTTGTCAAACTCATTCCGCGCCGCATAGCAAAGTCACATCATCAACCTCTGATTCATGTAAAGAAGTTTTCATAATTTGTGTAATCCCCTCTCTCATAAATTTATTTTTTATTTAAAAATATTAAAAAATAAAAACTGAAAATAAAAATCTGTGAAGTCCGATTTGAGTTAAATACTTACTAATAGTTTTCCTCTTCAGGGTCAGTCCCATTTACGACAAATCATATTGCGCAACAAGCAACTTTGCAAATGAGTGAATTGGCTTCTTTCATCCTTGGCATATCGACTTGCGTAACATAATAGGGTGTTAGTGTTTAATGTTACAATGTTTTAAACTTTAAAGCATTTCATTGACCAATCAAGGAATTTTACAAATTAATCAATCAGAAAATACTTCAAGATGCCACATTTGTGGCATCATCTTGATCATATTCATAGTCGCATTATTATATATTCTCTAATCCACAGAGAGACATTTTTTAAACTCGTGAACCCCCTCTCCCATAAACTTTCTTTTACTTTAAAAACATTTAGAGATAAAAACTGCGTACTTGAATCTTACTACTTCAGTTAATTACTGACGTTTTATCAGAACAGACTGAAATAAAATTTAATGTGTCATACTCTAAAAGAGTTACAGACAGCGAAAACATTCAGGTACGTAAAACAAATTCTATTTCTTTTATATTTGTAATAAAAACTAACACTATATTATAAATTCAATCTTTGTAACAAATAAAAATTATAAATTTAAATTCCTTTTTGAAAAAAGAGAACATTATAAAAAACTTTACTTACAATAAATAGTCATTAATGTTAAAAATATTCGTAAATTTATACTTTTTTTTGAAAATAGTTTTACATAAAAATGTATCACAATAAGTTCTCTCTCTCTCTCTCTTTCTCTCCTTCCTTTCTTTCCTCTTTCAACTATTGATATTATATATACTTATAATAAAATCACTAATTTTTCAGATAATTATAGTGAAAACCATGGTATAATATCTTGTTATTTTTCTGGCAGAGGTATTATTGCTTACTTTGAAAGTTATATACATATATAATTATATTTGCGAGTATGCAAATTAATCATACTAACGAAGAAAAAGACTATAGCTAACGAAATTATCTTGATATGTAAGAAATTCTTAATATATGAATATAACACAGTGCAACAAAAAAACATTATAACAAGACTAGTCATTTCCTGTAGTTTTTTAGACGCTGAATCCGAATCCGTTGTAGAATTACTCTATTACGTTATCATTTTTAAAAATTTGCAGATAAACTTACAAAAAGGACTATTTTTACGTTCTTTGTCACATTATAACTTTGAAGTGCTGAAGAAGTGTTCTTGCAATCAAAATTAAATAGCTGTTAAAATTTTCAAATTTTGAAAGAAATTTTTTGTGTTCATTACGGTTAACAAAACATTACGTTCATTACGGAAAAGGTGTGAATAAAATCATTGATCAATTTACCAAACTTCTAATTTTCAAGACCTTGAATTCACAGAGTTAGAAACTCGGACTTTGGACAATAATATTTCTATTTATACTACATGAAAAACAATAATAAATTAAAGAAACTATTTTTCATGTGCAATAGGATACTCCAGACTCTACTAAAATCTAAAGTTCTCAGTTATAAATTCGGACCATTCGTATAACGCGGTTTACTGCTTGCTGCATACAATTAGTGAAAAAATTAATGACATTTTTTTTCACACGATTTAATTCCAACCTATCAATTGCAAACTCAAAACTTGCATAATAATATCTCTTTTTACATAAGTATATGAATAAATAATTTAAAGTTGAAAATATGATTCTTATGCAATAAGATCTTGATGTATCGATGAATTAAAAACTCGGACTATAAGCGATAATATTTCTACTTGTGTTACATGAAGAATAAATTAAAGAAATTATAAATAGATTTCTCGTGTATAATAGAGCACTCTGTGCACCGCCTGTTGCGCGCTACATTTATCACAACACAGCAGAGTCGCATCAACGTACAATTTTTGATTCATGGGAGGAAGTCTCTCTTAACTGGCAACCCTTTTTGCCACAACTTGTGCTTTTGCTTTAAAAACATCTAGAAAGAAGAATACTTGACTAATTACAGTTAACTACTGAGTTGTCATTAGAGAACAGACTGAAGAGAGATTGAACGTATCCTAGTGCGAAAGTTATGGATAGTGAAATACAGTCAGGTATGTAAAACGAATTCTGTTTCTTTCTTACTTGCAATAAATACCAATATTGTGTAATAACCTTAATTTTTTGTAACAAATAAGAATATTTCTTTTTGAGAGACATAAAACTTATTTCTTCAGAAAAGAAACCTAAAAGAATAAACTTATGTTAATATATGTTACATAAATATTTAAAAAAAAGTTCGAGCATTTTAGACAAGGGAGCACGCAGGGATTGTTGGATTCATCTTTTTCTTTTACTCAATTTTACTTGCTGAATTCGAAAATCCTAGTTAAAATAGTCTTGGTATTCGGGAAATATAATTTTGGAATACATTTTGACAGAAGAAAACAATAATTTTATTTATCATTTTGCTTTTATCATTTTATCGAACCATATATGATAAGAAAAAATGAGAGCTGAGGTAATATCAAAACATATTTTTATAAAAGCAACGAAACTTTTATATTCTTTCTGGACAGTATTATCATATAAAAATATGTCAAAATAAATTTTCTCTTTCCATTCTCGGTTATATTTTTCTCTGTCTTCTTTCTATCTACCTATCAGTCTCTCATTCATTTTTGTAAAAGTTTTTAAATCTATTAAATTTTAGACTCTAGAAGAAGTGTTAATCCTCTAACTATAGTTACATTTGAAAAAAAATAAGATGTGTTCATAATTATATAATCAGCATAATTGTTTCTAGCTTTCCACTCTTAAAAAAAAGTATAATTAGAGCTCGAGCTTTGAGAGGTCACAAAGACATTTCTTACAAGGGAACACACGGAAGTGTTTCCCTTCGATTTCAACAAGCTTTGGATATGTTAAACTACAGACAAAAATAAGATACTACAATTTTTGCATTCGCGTTGAGTCACACATTAAGGGGGTGAAACATCCCTTAGAAAAAAATCGGTTTTATTTTTTCAATGCGAAATCATTGAAACTACAAGAGATAGAAAAAAATGTT